CTCAGCCCCCACCTGCCCTCACTTGGCAGAAGGCACAGTCGTACTCTGAAGCAGGGATTCTTGTCCAGAGATAATTTTAGCTCCCACCCTTTTAAGAACTGCTTATTAAACTCTGTACAACCTTTTCTGGTCTCTGTGGATTTGCATCTATATAAAACAGTGTGAAGTAATACCAGATGAGGACAATACAGGCTGTATTCTTGGGACACATGCATGGAAGGGACTCTAAAATGATATCATGGCAAAGAATAAAACAAAATAAATATGTGCTTGCTCTACTGTTATTTTCTGGTTGTTTGTGGGTTTGAGTTTAGCTAAGTGTTGTGGGAATTTTTTTTTAATTTTTTTAATTTTTTTTTACACAGTGAGAGACAAGATACTGGGTTGGCTGGATTTTGAGTTTGACATGATCACGACCATCCTCAGTAATGCCCACAATGTTCAAAAAATACTATACTAAAAAAAAAAAAGTAGTGTTTGGTTCATTAATACCATTTAATAGCTGTGGTAATCAACACGAAACAATTTTTGGTTTTGTGTTTTGGGTTTTTTTTTTGACAGATGTCTAAAATCTCAGAGGCAATTTCACTTTATGTTTGTGAATGTGGGAAATGTTCCCCCTTCTTGGGGGTAGGAGGGAATATGGGACCAAATATGGGACCAAATTTTTCTTGTGCTGCTTTTGACTAGGAAGAAAATTTTACACGCAAATCTAAGGTAAAGCTTTGACCACTGGAAAGAAATTATGCCTGTTTACTGCTCTCCAAGATTAAAATGGTGAGTTTATTTGCATATGTGAGGATAAATACATGCACAACTGCCAAGGTCTGAATTTGCTTGACATAGATGTATATATTTATGCATATAATGATCTCTTAAGTTAGATGTGTAGGCTGCATATATCTATTCTGTGTAAGTGCATATATACATTTCTACAATCACATATATACATCCTATATATACATGTATGTGTAAAGTGATTATTTATCCTTGCCAAGTATGTACAATGCTTAAAAACACATCCATCAATACAGGTATTTGACTCTTTTATCAGTCCTGCCACAGAACCTCTTTCCTGGATGGGAGGAATAATGAGGGAGAAAAAGGTGCTATTCGTAGAAAATGGATCACCAAAACAAAGTTTTGTAAAATGGATTTTTCCTCACTTTTCATTAAACTTCTGCCATTTTAAAATATACATATTTTTTTTCCCCAGAAAAAGGTGTATTTTTCTAAAAGTCCTTTCCAAGCTTCTCTAAATGCTACTCTTTCTTATTCTACTCTTCAAAGAGCAGCAGCCACGCTATCCCTCTTTTCAGCTTCAAACTGTGCTGCTCTGTCAGTCCAGCACAGCGAGAGTTCTTTGAACCTGAGAAGAGAATCTAGCTCCTTTTTTTGGAACCTTGAGAAGGACTTTTTGAGAGCAATGCAATTAGCATTTCCTTTTCACCCAATGCACCTTTCTTGACTTTTGTAAAAGTAAACTAAACAATAATAAACATATATTTACACATGTGGTTCCCTGGGGTCCATCAGAGATACCCTTTGTTCATACTTTACAGGGATTTTTGGGTCCTGTTATTTGAACCTTTAGCTGAATGTTGTGGTATCTACGAAACTTTTCACAGGCTGCTGACTTTATGTGGGGCAAATGTGAATTGACTGTGGTTTCCTCTCAGGGGTAACTTTATTCCGCACAGAGTAAAAAGATTTGGTGAATGTCAAAGGAAGGAGCCACAAGGTGTATTGATCTTGCTTGCTATACAACCTTGGTGGCTTTTATTCTTGGTGGCCCACCTTGGCTGCAGCAATGTGAACTCTGAATGCCAACAAGGCACCAGGCAATTTAAGCTAAGCTGAGCTCCACAGTTGCTTCCTGCTCTGTACTTGCACTTTGCCCCAGGTGATTTGACAGCGAAGGATCAATGCCTGTAATCTGGGTAAGTTCCTAAATGAGGCCTTAACAGATGTAAGTGCTGGAGTGGAAAGCAGAGGAAATGTGCTGCTGCTTTTCCTCTGACTATAAATAGCCAGGTCATCAGTACAAACTTTGTGGATGTCTGGCACCAGCATTTTGAACTGATTTGTTGAACACCACTGGGCATTCTGAAGAGCACTCTTTTTTTCCTTTTTTGTTCTAGAAATTTGCCCATGCCAGCTTCATGTGAAATGTGGGACACACTGCAGGAAGTGTCAAAGACATGATATTAGTTTCATTTATTTGAAATACTTGGTGATCTGGGTCTCAGCCCACAGAGAAGTCCTTGCACTGTCTCACCAGAAGGAGAACACTGTAGGCTGCATTGAATGGTTGGGGTTTTTTTGGGGGGGAAACCACTGCTGAGGTCACATGCGTGTCCTGTAGGAGACTTAGACCCTGAACCACTGGTACAGCAGAGGAAATGAGCTTCGGCTTTTGGTGTAAGTGAGAACGCTGAAATCAGTCAGACTAAACGGGACAAGGATGTGCCATGTTATTGGGGTGCCTCTGTGACTTGTAAAAACATCTGTGGGGGAAAAAAAGGTACTTAAAAATGACTTCACCAAGGGAATGTCTATAAATACAAAAACCTTAAATAGAGAATTCTAAAGTAAGCAGCATCTACGTTTTCCTTGAAACGGTATCTTTTTATCTGTGCCTGTCCCAGCAATTAAGTATTTCCTGGTCTATAAACACCTCCGTGTTTACAACGCACTTCTTAGGCAGTAACTTGTCCAAATATCCTGTGGTAAGACAAAACCCTTCAAGTGTAAAGGATTTGTTAATGGAAATTGGTTCAATCAAGCTTCCCTTTCCACCATTTTCCCCCTCTCCACCAGCACGTGCGCAGACTAAGCAGAGGCTTGCTGCTTCTCTACAGTAATATGAATTTTGAGTTGTTGATAAATACAAGAAGGTTAACAAGTAACATCAAAGGTTTACCAGATTAAAGTCAAAGGAAGATGAGATTTTCAAGGGCTTGAATAGACAAAGAGGTTGAGAATCTTAATTATCTCTCCAATACAAGACTTGAGAGGCTTAAATGAACTGAGAAGCAAACATGTCCATTCTGTGTGCTAACCGCCACACCACTGGGTTGCTTACTGCAAGTCAGTTAAAGGCTACATAAGGCATGAAAGATAAGGCAAATAGGTATGCCTGTAAAGTGATAGATCATTAAAAATGGTGACTGTTGTGTTTGATGTAGTAAGAGGTGGAGGAAAAACTAACTATAAGTTTAATGGGCATAGCAGATTCTGAGACATATATGGCAATTATTAGTCATACTATTTGAATCTGAAAGGGCATCAGTTCAAAGGAGCACTTAGAAAGGCTCAGGCTGGAAAAAGAAAGCTATTAAATCAGCTCTGCTCCTCTGAGTGTGTGTGTGGTTTTTCTCCCCCTTTCCTGAAAGTCTTAGGGTACTTCTTGAGAAGAGTATGATGAAATTTCACAAGTGTTGCAAGGAGGATAAGGTTTGTATGTATTATTATTGTAGAGATTTTTAGTTCTCTCTAAAAAAGCCAAATTTACCTGCTGTTAATATAGTTATATTGACAATAGGACACATGTCCCACCTGCTTCTATGAGATTAAGGTAGTTTAAACAAAACCACACAAAATGTGTCATAGATATTTATGAACTGCATAATATCTAATCTTCTCTCCAACATTGTGCTGTCTCTGAGTAACACAAAGAAGAACCATATGAGTTTAGAGATGAAGTAAAAAAAAAGCCCAAACACTGAATTTAACCCATCATCAAATATTGCTCATACTTCAGTTGAAAACACAAAAGGTGAAAATTGTAATTATGTTGGCAATTATTCATGAGGTGTAAAAGGTATAGATACTTTTAAAAAAATCAAAAAACAATCCTACTTCAGTTAGAGGTCTGAATTTTTCATCTAGTTTCTGTGACTGAGAGGGTAACTAGGAATTATTTTTATAACGAATCCTTCATACTTCTTTTGTTAAGAATACCCAAGGACATCTTTTATTTCTGTCAATAGAATAAGTGCATGTTGGGTACTAACTTAGTGTGCATACTCACAATTTTTAAAAAGTATTTAAAGCCACATACAATTCAAGACATGATGTTCTATTGAATAGTTAGAGGTGAACAAGTGTAAGCAGCTAATATCGACTGTGTTATCAGAGACCATAAAGTAGCTATTGTGCTGTCTTGATTGTATGCTGGGTCAGTGGAATTCAGTGTAAATTGAATGTGGAATGATATAAGTACTAGATATAAAATAATTGCCAAGAAGCAAAAATCTCAGGTTTTTCCACTTCTAAGTGTTTCACGTTACTAAGGTATTTCACTTACCTGCTTAAACCTGCTTAGAGTTGTACTTAGTTTGCTCTACAACTCTGCATTTCTTATGCCCACCCTCTCCTATCCCCTGCCTTAAATTTTTAGAGATTTCTTTTGTTCAGCATATTGTTGCTTGTTTTCCCATTTTGTTGAACATGATGAGGGATCTCATACCACTGTAAAGGAAATTACTTAATCTGTTCAGTGACCTGACATTGTGTATTAGTTTATGTTATAGTTTTATCACTCTTATTTTTACTTCATGTTATCTTCTTTCACTGATCGTAGTTGTTCTGAAAGGATACAGTTTTATGATTTTTGTTTGGGTGGAGAAGGGTGGTTGGGGGTAAACCAGAATATTCTAAGTAGTTAATGTGACAGCCTGGTACCTTTTAAGTGTATGAGCTTGTATCCTGGAATTTCTTCCAGATTTTATATTCATTTCGTCCAAGTGATGCAAACAGGGTTCCATAATTATGTCCATGTGAGAGCACAAAACCTCAGAGACAGATGTACACTGTGCAAAATGGAGCATGCAGCTGAATGTAACGAAGCATGCCATCTTCTGAGATATTGCATAGAGGGCTAGATGTTGGCCAGCTCACACCGTGTGCTGCCACACTTCCTACTATCATGAAATCAACTCTTCCATAGCTTTGTTTTAACTTGTAAGGCAATATAATTTTTTGGTTTATTATCTTCACAGATTCTACCTTATAGCAACAGTTTACTATGAGATGTGTTACATCAGTCTCTGAACGGTTTTGGAATTTTGGAGGTAATAAAATATTTTCTTTTCCTTGATTCCTTTTTTTACATCTTAAGAATATGTGTGACTCCACAACTCATTGATCACATATCAGACTGCAGTATTATTTCCAGTTGGGATGTGGAAATGCTCACCTGGAGAGCAGCTGTAGGGCTCACGAGAGCTGCAAGAACGTGCTGAATATTTCTCATAGGTAGGTAGAGGACGCTATCAAACACCACATCTTCTTGTCTTTTACCTGCCAATTTTGCAATGACCACTACCGAAGCTTTGTATGCAATAAAGGTGGAGTCTGAGGTCTTGTTTGCTTCATCTACCATCCCAACAGTCTGCTTAAGCAGGCTGTTTTCACCCCTTTGCCATTATATAATTATTACTATGGTGAATTTGGAAAATGCTGGCTATTAACTTGATGCTGGATGAGGCATACTCTCATCTCTCATTGAGTGGAGATTTATCCACATAACTCCCAATAATGTGGCAGTATAGACTCTAGTTTCTCATACAGGAAGCTCTGTAGTTTGCAGCAGCCTTTGAAATAGCTGTTGAGAGATCCTGTGTCACTGTCATGCCAACCAAATGGAAGAGTTTTTACTTAATGAGGAGAATAATTCAGAGACCTGCCTCCCTCCTGGAAAGGGAGTGAAAAATAGCTCGTTCTGTATTTTCCTGTTCATTAGGGTTCCATACAGCTACTAATGAGAAATGAACTAAAATTACAAATTAAGCAGGTAGAGTGGCTACAACTGGTTTTCATATGAGCTTACTCCTTTGCGATTTCTGTTGCCAAATCAGTAAAACATCCCCACTGGCCTTTTTTTCCCCCACTTCTTGTGTACCAGTGTGGCAAGTACTGAGAATTTCATGTCAGTCATGTGCTAATAAGGGCAGCATGCAAACAGTGAGCAAATGTGAGGATTCTTTCACAATTTGTGCAGAAAAACACGTGCTTCTCCATTATGTGGAAGAGCAACTAGTTATTTCTGTGTCTCTGTCCTTCACTTACTGCTGATCATAGGACTCTGGGTATGTAGAGGGGGAGACAACCAGATAGATGGAGGAGTATGAATGCTATGCCACTCTCTGAAAGAAGGAAATTGTGAAGGCATGAAGTAGCCCAATATTATATTTTCTTTGAAGCCCTGCCTACAAGGGGCAAAATATTACTAGGACTGTGGAGTCCAGTTGTAATAGAAAGGGGGTTTGGGGAATCTCTCAGGAATTTAGGCTAAGCAGAACAGGCAGATTTTGTCCATGAAAGTTTTGAAGTTTGGGCAATGTGATGGTGGAAACTACATTCAGTAGCTCTGTCTCAGAGCTCAGACAAGGTCCTCTACTAGATATTTTAGTGCACATCTCTATGGAGGGACAGTCAAAGCCATTTTCTCATTTTGCAAGAGAAAGGATGGCCTATCCTGAGAGAGATTTTATCTGTTGCAGTGGTTATAGTGTCTGTTATAAACTGCATATTTCAAATGAGAAAGGTGATAAACTCTGTTAAATAATGACCCCTAATATTTTAAAGGAAACCACCAAGAAACAAACTTAGAAGGGAAGATGATGTGTGTCTGCACAAGTCAAGTGTGCAAAGAGTGAGTCTTAATTAACTGTGGCAACGTGACTGTTGCACAAGTTAACGGAAGGTATGAGGAGCATCTGCCTGCCTTGTTCTAACTGACACAACGGATATCTTACATTGCAAAAGAGACAGTGCAGATGCTTTAAGTTACAGAGCAGATGTCACCCTTCGGGAAAAAAGAAACTTCAGACATGGCTTTTCTTATAATTGAAAAGCATTGTCAGCTTGGCAACTTCTTGTATGTTTAAATGACAGATATTCATACTAGTTGAAAATGAACCCTGCTCAGCAGACATTGGCAATGTTTTTTTTGTTTCCCCATTTCTCATTTCTAAAAGGCTAGTAGATCATTTCTGTTCATTAGACTTGGTAGGAATTACGCACGGAAAATCAATTCCCTCAGCCTCTTTTCATCTTGGGGCTGTCCCAGGTATTCTGCCTTGAAACTTCTTAGTAACGTCAGCCGTGGTGTGTGAATGTGGTACTGAAAGGTGAAAGTAAAAAATCAGATTTTACCCAAGGAATGCAAGCATCATCTTTTGCCCATTTCCCTTTTTCTCTTGCTAACATCTTTTTTTAGTTGTGGCTGCCCAGCATTTGGGAGCATTCATGGTAATCTAGGCAAAATGAATGTTAGAGCAGCCCTGAAAACGTAAGCTATTCAAACTGTGCTTCTCTCTAGTGGAATATACACTATAGAGAAATACGCACAGTTAAAATCATTTGTCTTTCAAGGGCAAAAAAACTGAAATCTTTTTTTTTTTTTTTCCTTTTTCTTTTCTTTTGGCATTACCAAGAAAAGACAAGAAAAGACGTACTTTCTCCCACTCTATCTCTGCGTTTACTTGCCTATCACATCATCAAGTAGATTGCTTTTCCCAGTATTCATGGTTTTATGAATAATGCTTTAGAGCTATGGTCTGCTCAATAAGGAATCAGTGCAAAGCATCATCTTGCTAGTGTGTACGAAACACACTTTTATGCCAGTGTGAGAATTTGTTTCAGTTTTAAGTCCCACGCTATCTCAAGAGGCAGAGTCCTGCAGCATGGCTGTCTGATGAATGATGCTGCAAGGAAATGCAAAATGAGACAAAGTGGTTTTGTCAGATGAAGTTGAATTGTTGTGAGTTTCAATTAACAGCATTTTTCCTTGTTCTGGAATGTGTAGATCTGAATTTCATGAAGATGAATTTGAATTTTTACAGCATTTGAAAAGCTGAATTTTATCACCTGCTGTCTAAACATTTAGGTTAAAAAAGTACTGATTTGCTGTCTATGTTGTATGTCATCAGCAAACAGTATAGCAAAGGGATGAGGTGGGTCTCAATTACTTCAGGATCATTGTGTAAATTTAGTAAAAAGCATTGCAAAGTTAATTGTATTGTTTTAATGGTGTAATTTAATTACATTAATGATATTAAAGGCCTTTAGTGCAAGTTCCAAAGACTCTAAAGCCAGAACATTGTCTTCTTGCATGTCTATGTATGTTTAGAAGATATCAAGCTTGCAAATATTGATGACATCATCTTAACAAAGCATTTACTAAGGTGGTTTTTTTTTCAGGGCTCCTCCTCCTTGGATTCTAGAGAAAGACGCCTTTTTCACCTTGCTATTTAGCAAGTTTTGGACTAATTTGCACAAGATGTTGTATCCATGTTCTATTCCAATAAATTACATGAAATATGAAGAAACTGTAGATAGAAAAATGCATTTTATTTTGGTTTTGAGAAAAGAGTTGCAGTGAAGAATGTGTGCGCTATGGAAAGGTAGTTTTAAAAGCTAGACAGTGTTTGTCTCTGGTATCTTGATGCGTTGAAGGAGTCATGCTGTTGTCTAAAGATGTAGCTGCATCATTACCAACAAAAGGAAGGTTGGAGCTGGATGTAGGTGAGTGCAGCTGGAGTATTAGAAGGGCAGGCCCCAAAAGAAGACAGTCTAAGGATCATCAAGCCTGAAGATAAGGCATTAGGTTTGCATTTCATGTGATTGTTTGTAGAAAACAATTTTCATAAGAAAGTTGACATCAGGAAAGGTATTTTTCTGTCTCTGAGTGTTTTGCTGAGAACAGGAAGAGGACAGCAATATTGCTACAAGTTATGGCAATATGAATGTGTGTATTGCCAACTTCAAGCTTCAAAAAGCGCAAGCCAAGCATCATAAAATCCTGACACTACTTTAAGTATTTTTTAAAAATTCACACATGTTCTGTTCTTAACACTTCCTTTCTAATGAAAGTTTTCACTTGACTGTGAAAACTGAAGCTTTAGGAAAGATGGAAAGATACCAAGACAAATTAGAAGTATTCTTTTGGGAACTGGTGGTGTTGTCTGTAATAACACAGCAGTGACTGAAGCTAAATAAGTTTTCTTGCTTAGTTTCCTAATAACTTAAGTTAGTTTTCCTTTATTTTGGCTTTAACTACTCGGTTAGGTCAGAAGCTAACATAAGGGAAGGTACTGTTGCAGAACTCTTAATTCTGAAACGTTCCTGAAAAATCTGAACACTGTGTAGTATTACAAAGTAAAAGTGTAGAAAGAGAAAGGATTAAGAATAGACATCCTGTTTCCAGCAACTGGAAGAGAAAAGTGCATTTTGTCTGGAAAAAATGTCTGAGATAACACTGTTTTGATTTTTGACATTTAGAAATCACAGACTCTACTTGGCATCAGTCCTCAATTTCCACCTGCAGAACTCAATCAAAGGACTCTGCAAATCACAGTAACTTTAATTTCTAAGTCTTACTGAGTAATGTTGAGATTGCTTTAAACTTCAGCCTTTGGAAACATTTGTGACAGAAAGAGTGACCAAAAAAAAAAAAAAAAAAAAAAAAAAAAAAA